ATCAGCATCAAGAAGTGTATAAGTCTTCTGCTTCCTTGCCAACGTTGCAGCTTCAATTTCTCGTTGTAGGTAAAGCTGAGATTAACACCAAAAAATCAAGGGCAGGGAGAAGTATATGTATTAGCTCAGAAGGACACCAGGGGTTGTAATTGACAAAGAAAAATACTACATCGAAAAAGGTGAAAAGAAAATACCATGTCTCTTTTATTGTCCAAAAAGGTGACAAATAACATAAGAAAAAAAATTAAATAGAAGTGTCATTTATCTTTCTCTAAGTTATGTGTATCTTAGACAAAACAGAAGAAAAACTAAGCTTATCTCCTAAATCATTTTATACCAAACATAAGAGTGAAGGAACCTGAATTTTTCATTGAGGAAAGAAGTGGATACAAAATATCTCGTTCTATCTCATTCCATCCTATCAATAATCTTATGTACCAAAGGCACCAAAAAGTGTAAAAGTGTAAAAGTGGGAGTCCACAAAATCAGCACCAGCTTGCCAACCAAGTAAGTTGTGCATTCACAATCTAAGAACTCACATTAACACCAGCAGTTCTATGGGGAACTCTAGAAAATATCTCTTCAGCAAATGCTCGAGTATCACTTGATGAAGACAAACCGAGATTCTCTAGCTCACCCAAAATATCAGCAGGTGATGTTGCTCGCTTCGCTGCAATAATGGAATCATTCCTTGTATCAGACATTATGTGCTTCCGTTTCATAAACAAGTGCATATGCACGCACAAGTGAAGTAAAAGATATGAACATGAAATAAACAAGGGTAATAGGAATTCACCTAGTCCTATAACATATTGAACAACTGTGGCCTGCGAATATCCCAGCAATGAGATTAATTTGTCAGATACCCAAGTCTGCAGATTACTGTTGCTTCCCATTTTTCTTAAAAAATGGATCTAAGTGGTGTAGACAAGTCAACCGACAGCTTCTACTCTAATGCCTTCAGCGACCTTGCTGCTCAGAAAAAGAACATAATTGAATTATATTGCAAAAGCAGAAGCTAATATCTAATTATGATCATTTGATAACTAATGTCCTTCCTCCTCTTCGCATTGGTTAGCTATTAAACTAGTTGTTCACAACTATAAAAAAAAAATCAAAATAAATAACCAGTACCATGTAAACTAATTCAATTCAGTGCCAATAAAAGCAGCGAAAATGAAGCAGGGTGGGATGGAGCTAAATTTAGATAACTGAGAAATTGAGGTCCCTGCAGATGCAGAGCTAAACACTACAATAATTCATCGTAACGATGTTTCTATATGGAAACTGAAAATATATCAGATAAACAAAGGGGAGGTAAAACCTAAATGAGGATATTTTGATTAAGCGAGCTGGAATTGCTGGTCTTAGACCGGAATAGACTTGTCTTGTCAATCAATAGACCAAGAATATAACATGAAGATCACACTTGAAGAAGACTAGTAGTAGACCAATAAAGATAAAGGGAAGAGCGCTTGGTTGCATTGTGAATTAGAGAACGGAGAGCAGAGTGATTAGAATAAAAAATTAATTCAATTAGGCAGTATTATAAAATTTTCTTAGAAAAACATTTGAACATTCGACATCTTTCTCAACCAAATAATTTAACTTTTTCATACTTGGTAGAGTAGGGTTACCCAATGGGAAAACACATAAGCTTCTTCTTCAACTCAGACTGTTAATTCTTGTAAGTTGCCTGCTTAGCAGCATGTCGTAGAGGATAGCTGAGGCGAGATTCGAGAAAGAGGAGGGAAGCAAAATAGAAGAGCAGAAGGAGAGAATAAGAGAAGAAAGAAAGAAAATGGTGATGGCGCGGAGAGACCAATAGACAACAAGGAAAGTTTTTAAGAGCGAAAGAACGGTGGAGGCGAGGAGCTGATGAAAGGGCAAGATCCTGATATCGATAATTTAACTTTTTGACTGCTTATTTATATATTTATTAGATTATCTACCGCATATCATTTTAATATAATTTTTAATAAATTAATATTTAATCAAAATTACTTTGATAAAAGACTCTAATAAATATTTAATTGAAATTTTACCTAAATTAAAACAAAATTATCGTAGTATAATATTAATGATCCGATTGACTTCAAATACGGTAATAAAATATTAAATATAATTGTCTAATTAAATAAAAAATGTTATTATTAAATCTAAATGATTGATTTTGATTATTAATAAATATTTAATATATTTTATAATGAGCTTCTACAAAATTTTGATTTATTTATTATGTAAGACAAATTTAAAATTGTTGATATAATAAAGTAATAATCTGCCTATTGGCAAGTTTTCTCTTTAGGCCTACCTATTGGCACGTTGCTTTATCTGAACTCAGTGGCTACCATTTGGTCAACAATGGTCGAGGTGATAACACTAGTCGCGTTCACCATAACGAACACTAGGGACAAGGGCTAGGATATTACGAATATCCTCCCAGACAATCAAGAGTCTTATGATTTTTGCCTAGTTAGGCATTTTTTCATTGAGGCAATTATAAAGTTCAAACTCATGCAGAATACATTGTCGAACGTCTGACAGCCCATAGGAAGAGTTAAACATCAAAGATCCAGGCTCTAATCGCTATCTGTTCCAGTTCTTCTACGAAATAGACATTCAACAAGTCATTAATGGAGGTCCGTGGACTTTCAACCATCATCTCCTCGTGGTGCATTAAATGCAATATGGGAAGGACTTGCTCAAAGTGTCTCTATATCACTACCATTTTTGGATCAAAGTCCATGATCTCTCAGCTAGCTATATATTGGAATCCATGGCAAAATAGTTTAGAGGCTTCTTAGGATAATTTATAGACTATGACACGAAACAGACAAATACAAATAACATAGAATACATGAGCATTCGAGTTGTTATAGACGTATACAATCCTTTATTCCGAATGAAGAAACTAATCCCACGGAATGGTATGGCGATCTATGTCATTTTCAAATATGAAAGGCTCTCAACCTACCATTACATATGTGGTCGACTTGGGTATTTTGAGAGCTACTACAAACTTCACATCCACCCAGGCATGGGGTCTCTCAAATCGGAATGGGATGACTCCCTCAAAGCAAATTCACACCATAAGTCTATATTGGTAAATAGGTTACTCCGAGACGACACAAGGGGTAGGTTATTACGTACGGAGGATCACTGGTTACGAAGGTGATATGGTTGGGAAGTAGGAATCACCCAGAACTGTTATTACCTCAAATTTTGTAAAATCACGTCAAACATATGATGTAAAGGGTCGGAATCTTAAAAGAAGTGAATTTATAATTTAAATGCGGAAGCGAATTATAATTTTAGGGTTAACATTCCTTATATAATAAATTGAATTGCCTAATATATGGGAATGTCCCTTCTATGTGGTTCATAAAAGATAAATGGTAATTAAAAAAAACGAATAAATAAATATCTCAGAGCAACATTTACTAGCACTTGAAGGGAGTCCAGAATGTGAACTACTCACAATCCTCTTGCTGATTGGGATTTGGATCTTGGTTTTCTTGATCTGAAATGACTAATAAAATGGTGAGTTACATTAAGCCAATAAGAATATCATACTAATCACTAATACGGAAAATTGAATGTTAGTAAAAATAAAAAAATAATTAATAGAGCCATTACTTTAAATAAATATATTTAACTTCAAAATTTTTTATTTGATACTTACCATTACAGTTTTTTTAAAAATCAACCTATGAATATAATTAACTAAATGACATTTCAATTTCATGTATAAGATCAACAATCCTTCCTTTTTAACCTACTTACTAGGACCTCTTGAGGTCCATAGGGATATCTCTCTACTTAAAGATTTGTCAAGTGACTTGGCCGTCCCAATACCATATTCGGTACGAGAGAGAACTATATATCCTAGAATCTTTCCGGTATGGGACTTATTAGCCCCGTTCGACTGAGGTAATGTTCATGGTAGGATTTTTTATGTACCGGATCCATCCACCATTTCCTAGGATGTCCAATAAACTTCCATTTATTTAGACTCTCATCCTCCAAACAACCACTAAAACATATCAACATTTCATTTTATATTCACATATTAATTCAAATGGCACTTAAACAAGCATTATAATTTGGCATAGCCAAGTAACCAATAACCAGAATACCGAATAAATAATGCAAGAAGAACCAAATAATCAAATAACCGAAAAGACCATAAAAGATCATTAATTTAATTATGCACAGTATAATAGTAAGGAAATATAGGCAATACAGAAAAATAAACAGAAAATTATGATAAATGTGAACTAACCAGTTCCGACTCCACTAGTGACCTGTAATATTTTTAGAATTTTTAGAATTTTTTACAAAATACATAATTATCAATTATTAATCATCAATTTACTGTAACTAAGAATAGAATGAAGGATCCTTACCCGAATTAGTGTTTCAAAAGTCGTGCAATCTACTACATGTCTCAATTTTTTAAATTTTTCTGCGAAAATTCAAAATACTCATGACATAACTAAAAATACCCTAAAAATCTCAAATCAGTGTCGAAAACTCTTTTCGGCCAATTTTAGGGTTCCAGCGCCGGCTCTACTGCCCGCAGCAGCAATTCGTCTCAACCTGGTCAGTTTTAGCCGGTTTTATACGTATCTCTGAGAAAAAAATACGTTATAAGGCCTCGGTTGACCAAAAAATCACAAAAAAATTGAACCTACTGGTGAGAGGTCTTTGAGTGCGGCAGCTCTGCTGACTCCATCGGCTTTCCTTCGCGGCTGAGGTTTCTTCTTTAGCTAACATGTACAGAAAATGACGGTGAACACAATGGTTGAAAAAATTTGTAAAACAAGAAAAGGAAAGGGGCTCATCGAAGGAGTTTTAAGGTCTCGGTCACAACGACTCTGCCAAACTTTGTTCACAGTTTTCAGCTCACCCCCTGTCCGTTTTGCTTCGATATGGCAATGGGGAGACTTGAAATCAAATTCTGAGGGGGTAGGGAAAGAATTTTACCTTTTTTAGTAGTTGGCGATGACTTCGGTCCGACGACTGGTCCTTCTTCTCTGACAGGGCAGAGCGGCTAGGGTTAGGGTTCCCTTGCAACTTGATGTTTATATACTAACTCCGAGTTGATCGGGGTCGTCCATTCACGTCAATGTGGAGTGAGGAGACTTGTCTGATCATTGCCTATTTAGGCCGATTGTGTGGACAAATCTGGAATGTTCATCGAGATTGATCTCGCCTGTTCGATCGCGCCAAAAGAGAAAATGCATCTGAGCCGTTCATGCATGCAAGATCGAATCTGGATAATCGAATCACTAGGCACGTGGATCACCCGTGTGGCCTCTCACGTGGCACCGATGTCAACATATTTTGCCACGCGGCATGCTCTAGTTCGTCGGAGTTGCTTACTGGGCCGTTCCACATAGCCGAATTTTTCCTTTTTGCATTTTGACCTCCTGTTTCTAATTTTTCTTTCAAAAATACCTCAAAGAACTCAAAGTTTTACTCTCTTTTTTCCAAAATTGCTTTCATTTACGTTCATAATCTATTTTTTTAAATAATTTAATAAAATTAAATTAAAAAATTAATTATTTTTATAAATACCAAAATTAATCCCGAGCCAAATTTCGGCTCGGGTATTACATATGGACCATGATAACCCACTGAGCCATAACAACTTAGAAGCATTTGTTTTGCAGGAAGCCAAGACTAAGGCATCCGAATATAAAGATATTAGTATGTCCAAGGAAATAAGCAACTCCAACAAATGTTAATGACTGAGATTGCATCTGCCACAATAGCCCCAACTGATGAGTCGCAAAAAATGTCACCCAAACAGCATATTGAGATATCAACAAGATCTTATCACCAAGCTCGCTGGAAGCCATGAAAATCTTAAAGTATAACTATCTAGAACTTGGCAACCTTCATACAGTGATATCTCTTCAAGAGCTAGTAAGGAAATTAAAACCGGGCATTTTATTTTTAATGAAAACATTGGTGAATACACAGAAACTAGAGATGATGGTTGCAAAGATAATCCTCGAGAACATATTTAAAGTCGATAGATTTAAGTTCTCGATATTATCATAGTCACAGAACCACGTGGGTACGCAACTTGAACTCGTAATAAGTACAAATTGGTTGTTAACGAGCTTTTACAACATTCTAAATCAAAATAGAAGAAGAGAATCCCAACAAATACTGAAAAACCTGGCCAGTAACAAAAATGTCTCATGTGCAGTGGTAGATGACTTTAACGATATGATGTTGGCGGCAAATAAAGAAAGGGGAGCAACCATATCAGCAGCCCTCATGATGGGCTTTTGAGACACGTTAAATCATTGCAACCTAATGGATTTGCCTCTCATGGGCTACGAGTTCACATGGATGAGGGGAAGGATGCCACAATAATGCAAGAATAAATAAATATATGGGTTGTGAATGACTCATAGTTAACTTAGTTTCTACAAGGTCGCATGGATAACTTTTTTGCACTAGTATTTGATCACTTTCTATTTTACTAATTTGCGAAAACACCAACAGTACACATATCTCCCTCCACTTTAAATTTGAGAATACATAACTATTGAATCTAAATATCGAGGAAGTTGTGAAATGCAACTAGTGTAATAAAGTTGAAGGAAATATTGTGCATAGAATAGCTAGTTGTGTGGCGTCTTTACACGAGTAGAGTCATTCACTGGTGGAGGAATTTAAAGAAAAGAAAAATCGGTTGTACAAATGGATTTTGATAGAATGCCAAGCCAGAACTTTTACTACCAATGACAATCTAGGAGAACTAAGCAAATAATACATTCATATTCTTGAATAAGAGAACAATTATTAGAAATAGAGATTAAAAAAATTTTGGTTACAACAGGGGACAGGAACTCGAGGTAATTC